TTTTTATCATTCTGGTGGCCTTTCTATGTTTGTTAGAAAATACAGAAAAACTGAAGTTCAAATTGGCCATTTTATGGATGACATGAATTGTGTATGTGTAATCTGATTCCTGATTAGAAGGACCCAGTTAGTATGCCATAATTGCAATATCTTCTGTGATAGCTCTTTACTGCGTTAAGCACCAGCTCACTACTGGAAAAGAGGCAACTGTTCTTTTCATATTTGTATAGTAGTATGCATGATAATTGTTTGAAGTGCTGGGGGTGTGAAAATTTTGAATTTTTCATGATGGTTTAGCCACCATACAAAACATCGGAGTTCCAAGAAGTACAATGTACATGTGATCACGCTTGTACTAGTACATTTCCTTTGCTTTTATTATATTTTTGCCTAGTATATCAGCTACTAGTAGCTGATATAGGAAAACATGACAAGGGTCTGATCTATAATGATCAACTGGATTTTATTTTACTGATACTGCTGGACACAGGGCAGTAGTTAAAAACTCTGGGGGTCTTGTCACTACACTCTGGCAGTTTTTTTCCTCTTGTATTGTTGATAGTGTTAAGGTTGTTTGCAGAGACCACTGATTTGAATGTTATTAGTGATTTTACAGTAATTTTATACTGTTACATTATGATGATTTGAGTATATTCTTAAGTCAAAATTACACTCCTCTCAATGTTATTTATCTATTGTTATTTATTGATGCAGTAAGATGTTTCAGAAATATTGCTTTTTAAAGTAGATGCTAAGCATGTATTTACAAATCATGATAGAAACTCTTGGTTTTCCGTGTTTCACATATTGTAAAGTTTTGTTTCTAATAAATCTGTTAAATTTTGAATCTTGCAGTTTTTTAAGTGTGCTCCTGTGTATATTATGGAAAATAACACGTACCGAAAAATCCCCAAAGAAATATTTCCCCCCATATGCTCTCTAATAATTGTTTGTTTTGGTCAGTTTATTCTTTAAAATGGGCATTTACTTTTTATCACAAATGTTTACCCAGGCAAAGGTACAGGTATGTTTGTTATCTGCTTTTAATCCTTCATCCCAGCCAGTACAATAAATATCGCTTCTTCAAAATATATTTTAATACATTAAAACAGTCTTTAGAAATTAAAGTTAAATGCTGCTTATAAAACATGATTAGCAACACGTAGATCTATTGTGTTTTCATTTTCAAACATTAAAAAAATATTTTGTCTGAAATATTTTGTTTCACCGCACGTGGACTTCCTTCTTAAATACATTTATAATATTTAGTCGTCCGTGCATCCAGCCCTACCGTCGGGCATTATTTATGATAAACCTCTCTGTTCGGGCTAAAACGAGGCTGATGTGTGGAGGTGTGCAGACATATTTTGTAAAAGCTAACATGGAGAGTATACCGCGTATTTATGGATCCTAGTCATCGGAAGGTTTGTGCTTAAACGGTTGGTGAATACTGTAGTCTACTCAAAGTAATTACGATGGGGTTACTGACAATATTGAAGAAGATGAAACAGAAGGAAAAGGAAGTTCGACTATTGATGCTGTATCCTTACTGATATAAGAACTGGTAGTGGCTCTGGTGATCCAACTTCAGTCGGGATGGGTAGAGCCATTTCAAACGTTTAATTTCATCCATCGAATATTACGTCCTGCGTTCTCGCCCAGCAGTGAACCGAACCATGTAAAACCATAATGCTATTGTATTATATTGGTGAATTTATTTTTTTTAGAAAACTATGTGTGTATGTCGTTATTGGTGCTGGTGGTGGTGGGAGGGGGTGGGGCTGCAAATAGTGTCACCAGTCTGGTGTTCTTGGTTACCGAGTTAATTTTGAGCTCACTAGTAAAATGCATGGAGATTCAGCTGCTTGGTTTATATATTTTGTTAATTAGTAAATGTTAACTTACTTGGGCTTAATAAGTTTAGCCTAGCATTTAAACCATTTCAGAGGGGAAGCTGTATAAATGCGACACATTTACTAAGCTTAGCTTTACATTTGATAGTAACAGTGTGACATGAGTGTGCCTTAACTCAAAGTCAGAGGTTTGGATAATGCAGGCAAAACCACAATCCTAAAGAAATTCAACGGAGAAGATATCAACACAATTTCACCAACTCTGGGCTTCAATATAAAAACATTAGAACATAGAGGGTAAGTTATTTCATTAATTCAAATGATATTCCAGTAACCATCTTATTTTGAGATGTAATAATTAAAATGTCTTGGTTGATTTTGGGTTTATTCTTTGGAGGACACCTTGCTCTGCTGCTGTATAGGTAATCAGTAAAATTGTTGCTTTAGCCAGATTGCTTTAAGAATTCACCTAAATAGGAAATATTATATACTTCAGTGAGGAGTTGGAAAAAAAATTTTATGATTTGATACAACTTCCGTGTGCTAAATATTGTATGTATTAACTCTGTCACAACAATAACATTTAAGGAATTTTTATCATACTCTGAGAAGTTAAAAAAATAATAAAAACAATGTATCAGTAACGTAACAGAATCCCTTGCACCTTTCAGATTTAAATTAAACATTTGGGATGTTGGAGGCCAAAAATCACTACGGTCATATTGGAGAAATTATTTTGAAAGTACAGATGGTCTTATATGGGTAGTAGACAGTGCAGACAGGCGAAGATTATCTGACTGTAAAGAAGAGTTACACCAGTTATTAGTTGAAGAGGTAAGAATACCAGGAGTGCACTCTATGCAATCTTTTCCTTAGATATAATTTGTGAAGGTTACATTGAGTGAAAACCATGTATTTGTAGATGTCAGTGATCAGATGAAAGGTTTTACCTGAACTATCAGAGGTACTAGTAGATACTTTGTACAGGTATGATGTCAGTATCTCTTCTATGACAACATAGGAATTAGAAATTTACTGATTTGCACAAATTTCAGGGCTTTATTTTCATGTCAGCTTTTATTGGATAGCATCAATCAAATGATTTCAAAGACCATTGTATCATGTTAAAATATAAAGTTCTTTTAAATTTCATATTTTGAATTAAAAATAAAACTCCTTGATTCTCCTAGTTATTTATTTGCTATGAATTGTTTTAAACATTGCAGAGGTTAGCAGGTGCAACATTATTAGTATTTGCAAACAAGCAAGATTTACCAGGTGCATTACCTGCAGAAGAAATCAAAGAGGTTTGCCATTTTTATAATTTTGTAATCCAAAGAAATCATTTTGATATATTTATGAACAGTTTTTGTACAACAGTAAGCTTGATTGGATGAGATTGGAACTTCCGTAAAAGGTAATATAATTTAATCTTATACAGACTATTTATAATTTGTAATCTTTCAGTTTGCTCAAATATAATTTTCTAAGATATTTCAAATATTGCTACATTATGGATAATTTTCTTTGTGAAGGCTCACAGCAAATGTTAGTTTTAGGGTTGACACTCTTCATTGTTCTTACTGAAACTGATTGTTATTATAGTACCCTTTTTCGTTTCAGGCTTTAGAATTGGACCTTATTAAGACGCATCACTGGTTAATTCAAGGTTGTAGTGCTGTGACTGGTGAAAATTTACTACAAGGAATGGACTGGATCATACAAGACATTTCTTCGAGAATTTTTACTATGGATTGAGCTCATTTAAAGATAATGTACTAACATTATTGCCAGCGAAGTATCATAAAATAAGCAAAGAGTGTACTAGTTGGTATCACCCTTCGAAATTGTTTAAAATTTGCAAGGTGAATTTATTATAGAGTTGAAAAGTTTTCAAAGGAGACAATATTTTAAATTATGTGCAGAAAGAAAAGTGATGACAATGAGTTCTTTGCAGTACTGCCTTTGTCATAGAAATATTCAACATCTGAACAAAGCTAGTTTTATGTAACTTTCATCATCAAAATTTTAATTGTAAATTATTTCTTAAAAGTTCTTTGTTCCAGAATGCTGTAAAATATAACACTTGCATTGTGTAAGATAAAGATGCAAGCTACTTATGGGTCTTGTTTTGTAAATAATCTTAATCGTATAATTATATAGTCAAGTCAGTGTGGACAAAGACCCCATTCCCATATATATTTAGATCGATCTTTCCCCCTGGGGAGTCTCACTAGATTGGAGTCAGCTTAACTGGCTTAAATGTCTGTCCTGCCTACTAAAAGCTGTAAGGGGGTAATTAACTGTCGTGCACGCTCGGCTGACAGCAATTTAGCTTGAACCCCCAGGGAGTTAGGTGGATCCAGATGGATCGATCTAAATATCTGGGAATGCTCTCAAAATCACATTCCTGCATAAGCATTGCAGCACAATGTCACCTGCTGTCTCAACAGACACAATAAAGATTATATACACCTAAAACTTAGTTTTGGTCAGAATTAATTTGGAATTATGCTAAAACGTTCTTTGTCATGAAGTTAAATTTGTTGCAGAATAGACATTTATACTTGCTTTTGTTGCAAAAAAGTCTTTTTATTAGAATATGAAGCCTTTTATTGTACCACCAGCGTTAGCGCTGGCGGTACACATGGGTTTAGTCCCGTCCGGTCCGTTCCGCCGGCTCCTGCGGCTCCGCCGCCATGTTACCGTTACCGCTTCTCCTCCTAGACGGTAAGGGCCCCCATACCCATCTCTTGGATTTAGGTCACCTATAATCTCAACTCGTTCCACGTAAAATTTGGGCTTTGTCAGTATTGGGGTCTAGGTGTGGCACTCATTGCAATGCACCCTTGTCCAAAAATGGCAAAATTAAATGCTAATTATCTACCCTACGGAAGGAATTATGGGAAAATTTTCTACAGACGGCTTTCCAAAAGTCATATGTGTAGATTTCAAATATGCCCTTGGATTTGACCTTTGACCTTTATTTCAAGGTCAAACGGGCAAAATTTTTCAAAAAAATGAATTTTTTT